TTGAGTCTGGCATCTCTAGTCATCTGTTCTATGTGGTATGAGTTTGGCTTCTGGCACTTTAACTGTTAACTTATCTTTTGTTTTCTTGCTGCTCATCTTTGTGGCTTCCATTTTCTTTTTGCTTATCACACCAGTTTGAGTTTTGTGTGTTGGAAGGATGTATTACTCCCCCATAGACTTTTATATAATAGTATTAATATCTCCCAGAAACATTGACATTGTACATTTGCTGAACTGAACAATAATTGAATTAGATACAGTTGTAAAGGCTAACCTGAGAATTCATTGCATAAGCAATGCAAAATAGACTAATCTGCACACTTTTTAATAATGTGCAGAAAAAAAAGAGAGACTAATCTGGCTGTGCTGCTTTACTTCAATGGACGATGGGATCCTAGCAACAAATATATTAATTACTTGGCAGATGGTGTGTTGATAAATACAGAATCAAACTTTGCCACCCTCGTTTCTATAATTGCTACTTAATTGTCAATAGACACATCAACAAGTAAAGTTGAAATCAGATATAAAATTGATGAAAGGTCTCCTCCAATTCAAATTCATAATGATATGGGGGTAAAAGTATATGTTGAAACCAAAAAGGAACATCGAGATATGGCAAGATACCTTTTGTGTGTCACAACAACTGAACCAGTCAACTTGGAGACTAATTCTACACTCATTCCACTATTATGTTCAGACACTTCAGAAGATATGAGGGTTATACACAATTCATACTTCTCTAATATATTTAATGGTATTGGTGAAGCAATAGGGTTAATTGGCTTTGGATCATGTGAGGAAGTTGATAAGCTAGAAGAATTAGCACTAGGCATCATTGTTAATCCCAATCACTCTTTATTTGAGAAAGATCAAGTGTATAAGAATAAATATGTCCTCACCAGTGCACTAAAAAGACATTCCATTCTTAAGCATTTTCAATTCAAGACAACAAGATCAAGCTCAATCAGGTAAGACCTAAATTCAAGTCACTTTAAATTATTGATTGTATATTAATTTTTTTTCAACAGCTATTCGATACAGTGCTTAGGTGAAAACTGTTGTTTGAGTTTACGAGCTTCAAGCTTGAACAAATCTCAAATGTTCAAGATTAGAGAATTTGAAAGCGAACACACATGTTTGTTGCTACATAATTCATTATCGGAAAGGCAAGCAACTAAGAGTGTTGTTGGGAGTATTATTGTCGGTAAATGTGCTGAACCAGATGTTATTTACACACCAAAAGATATACAACGTGACATGTTATCTGAATATGGTGTGCGACTCACATATATGCAAGCATGGAGAGCTAAAGAAGCAGCTCTTGAATTAGTCCGGGGTGATCCAATTCAATCATATGCAAAGTTGCCAAGCTACTTTCATATACTAGAGGCAACTTACCCTGGTTCCCATATAAGAATACACAAATAAGAGGATGACCGTTTTCTATATGCGTTTGTAGCTTTGTTCACCTCGATAAAATGATGGGAATATTGTAGACCAATTGTAGTTGTTGATGGAACTTTCTTAAAAGGAGCATACAAAGGGACACTACTAACCGCTAATACCTTAGATGCAGCAGGTGAGACTTTCGAATATGATACTAGTATTTTCTATATTGAATTTCTGAACTATGAATTAAAAATGAATTATAATTGTAGTAAAAATGTATTAAAATTGTATTAAACAAATTGTACATGGTGCAGGGAGTATACTGCCACTTGCTTATGCCATTGTTGATTCAGAGAATGATGCATCTTGGAGGTGGTTTTTTGAGCAATTCAGAGACGCATTCGGTCAAAGATTAGAGATGTGTATCGTTTCCGATAGGCATGCAAGCATTATTAAGGCAACTTCAAGAGTTTATGATGAAGTACCTCATTTTGTGTGTATGTGGCACTTACTGCAAAACATAATGAAAAACTTCAGAAAAAGTCAGCAAAGGGTAACTGAGTTGTTCTACTCTATGGCAAAAACATACACCATGACAGAATTTAATCAATGTATGACAATAGTTGAGAAAATAGATAAGAGGATCAAAGATTACTTGCTGAACATTGGATACAACAAATGGTCGCGTGTGCATGCTGAAGTAAACAGAACTTGGATGATGACGTCAAATATAGCAGAATCAGTCAATTCAAGAACAAGACATGCCAAAGTTCTTACAGTCTTACACCTCTTGGAATTCATGAGACAGCTTGTCCAGAAATGGAATAACAATAACAGATCAAAGGCGACATTTTCAGGTTTTCACCTTGGGAAAAAGTATGAAAATATATTGCGGCGCAATAAAACTGCATCAGAGAAATTAAGGGTATGCTTGATCTGTAAATTATTTTTGCTAATATTTTTTCTTCTGATTCATATCTAACATCTCTCTTGATTATATTTTTTTATTTTCATAGGTTGTAGAGACAAATAAATATGTGTATACGGTACTTGATGGTATTACACAATTCACAGTTTGTCTTCACCAACGTACATGCACATGTGGGAGATTTCAATTGGATGAGTTGCCATGTCCACATGCTTTGGCTGTTTTAACAATAAAGCACACTGGTTATGAGAAATATTGCTCTGATTACTATACAAGAAAAAATTTATTGCTGACATATCAGTTTCAAATGGATCCCCTGCCAGATGAAAGCACATGGAACACACCAACACATGTTCTTGAAGAGGTTGTACTTCCACCTCATGGAAAGAGACCTCCGGGAAGACCAAAAAATAAAAGACATACACAACTGAGAGAAGATGGATTCAAGAAGGCGAAAATTACATGCAGCAACTGTGGACAACAAGATCACAACAGGAAGACTTGCAAAAATGTTAGGCCTTATGATCAAGAATAAAAATAAGAAATAAAATTTGTTTTACCATGATTTTCTTGGTTAATTCATAATAGATTCAAGTTTAATTCAATCTATAAAACTCTCTCGTCGTTTCCTTAGTTATTTGTTTCCATTTTTTTCTTAATTCACTCTTCTAATTCAAGTTTAATACATTGTAATACACTTTTAATACAAGTTTAATTCATTTTTGCAGTTTGTTGGTTGATTTGTTATGATTTGA